AAACAGTGTCACCTTGAATGTTCCATTAAAGCCAATCGACAGCTGGTCAAGAGGAAACCGCAGTCGCCTTCCGGTGGAATTGACATTCGACTCTTTTTACCAAACACTTTCACTTGAAATGGAAGGTGTTTTGCTCTGGCGCCCCGACCAAGTTGCGAAAACGAGGTCGAAACAACACTATATTATCTTATGCTTTGTTTTAGTGTAAATTCCTTTCATGCAGATTCTTCACAGCTCACTATCCATGCCGCTGTGGTACTCGCTTTTATTAATAATCAACCATATGCTTATCCGCTCTTTTTGACCCTTTTCAAATGCCCTTGTGATTCTCCTAGTCTTAACTGATTATGCCTAATCGCTTCATATGCCTTTATCTCAGACACAGCTGAAGCCGATTCTCATCTCCCTATCTCAGTGTCACGTCGCCTCATGTTGGATAGAGCCCAACCGTTTGTAAATGAAGCCAGGCTTAGTTTCCCCGAGGGCTGGTTACCACTCGTTTGCCTGCAATGGCTGTTCGCCATCTTCCTTGTCATTTTTGCTTGCTATTCTCGCCGCCTTTCGCGTTGCACTGTCATCGACATCGGTTCAAATGCAGCATCTGGACATGAATACAGCCTCTCAGCCACCACGAATAAAGCAAGCAGGCACTGGGGGCAAGCCGAAAAGGCCAGACGACAAGCAAGTATCACTAAATGTCATTGAAATATAGCTTTTTTCTCCTATTTCTATTTAAATCCAACTCGGCTTGGTAAACCCAAGACTTAATAAAGTTGGGATATTGTCATTTTCATTTGAGATACTCGATTTTGATATGGTTGAACGCAGACATTTCAATTAATTTGTAGACAATCTTATTTTCCGTAAAATTGAGAATGATTTATTTCACATTGCCACTATTACTTCGCTTAGCTTATTTACTCTTATCAACTTCCCTTTTAGCGTGCCTTTCACAGGTCTGCTTTACATTTGGTTGCCGGGCTTTCTGCATGCTATCAACATCCATTTCCCCCTCTGACTAATGTCGTCTTCAGCCAGTGCTCGTGGCTCGGAAGCTGCCGCCTTTTCTTCATGTTTTTTATTCATTTTCTTCATTTGTTGAGTCCGGCCCGCATCATTTCCGGTCTTCGGCTATTATTCGAGGTATGGCAATTCGACAAGGCCAGAGGCCGAGCCCCGCCATCTGATATGTTAGTGCAGACAGAGATAAAATACTGCCGGACAAAGAATAAAAATGACCGTCTACAGCAACCTTTGACTAGGCTGGCGAAGGATTGGCTTTTCTTTGACAGGTTGACAAGAAAAGGCCATGTAAGTGCTAGAGCAAGCAATTATAGGAAAAAGCAGCCAACTGGTGCCTATGTTCCTTTGAGTGTTTCTCCTGATCTGCCTTGTTCTGCCGCTTCCGCACGACTTTCGTTGCTGGAACTTCGTCTTTTAAGTAAGTTGCAAATGGCGTTTCGCAAAGTATACGTTATTTTTTAGCATA